CCGGCTGACAGGACTGCAACATGCCCATCCTGCTGAACAAGGTCAGCTGGATAGAAACAATGATTTCCTAGCCCGTTGAGGATTCCCTGCCTTTTTATGATATGCATCCTAGCTGGATAAGAGCTGCGATGGCGCAGTGGTTAGAATGCAGTATTGCAGGCTAATTCTGCCGACTGCCAGCAGTTCGATCCTGATGGGCTCAAGATTGACTCGGTCCTCCATCCTTCCGAGGTCGGTAAAATCAGGACCCAGATTGTTGGGGGAGCAATATGCTGACTCTGTAAACCACTTCGAGAGGGCTGTAAAGCATTGTGAAGCAGTATATAAGTCTAAGTGCTACTGCTATTGCTATAAGTGAACCAGGTCAATGTCGTTGTGACCAACATGCAATGCTGGTTGCTTTTCCCAGCAGTGACACTTTGTTGGCAGCCATGCAAACTCTTCTTATTCTCCCAGGGAAGCTGCTGAACCTTGCTATGTGCAAGCAGAGGGGCTGGATTAAGCCATTAATAAATCAGAGGTGAAGAGAGCAATCTTGTTGAATGTAATGTATGCTAATGAAGTGACCTGGCTAATGGGGCCCATTCTGATATTCTGCCATTGCGTCAATTATACGGCCTCAATTATGGCCCTGTTTTTGTATTGCACGACTGCGAAATGAGAGCCTTAATAGAGATGTTTCACCCAGTAAAATGCCTGATTAGGTTATGAAAGCTGAAAGTCAGGGAGAAAAGTGGAGTGAAGCTGGAGGGGGGAGGGAGGGTGGGCAGGGAGAGAGAAACCCCAACGAACGAAAAGATGGAGGAGAGATTTTATAGCAGGATTTAATGAGGCAAAAGACCAGCATTTGCATGCAGGCAGCACCAAAGTCAGCCTGGCACTTTGTCGAATATTTTTCTGGCGTTGCGAAAAAACCGTCTTCCATTTTACCGGTGGTCCTTGACTTACAAGCATTCATTTACTGGCCATTCGAACAGCACTGAAAAAAACTGACTTATGACCAGTTCTCACATTTACGACCGTCGCAGCATCCCCATAGTCAGGCCATTAAAATCCAGGCGCTTGGCAACGGACTCGTATTTATGACGGTTGCAGCGTCCCAAGGTCACGTGATCCCCTTTTGCGACCTGACAAGCGCAGTCCATGGGGAGTCCGGATTCACTTAAACAAGCGTCTATTAGCTGAACCACTTAACAACTATGGCAAGAAAGGCCATAAACTGGAGCAAAATGCACTTAACTGTCTCGCTTAGCAATGGAAAATTTGGGCTCCATTGTGGCTGCCTGTATTGCAAAGTGGAGTAAACAACCACGGCATCCTACATTGTCAAATGCTGGTGGGATTTTGTGTTCGAGATGGAAGTAAAAATATGAAACGTTGACTTTGGGTTTTGCTAATTAAATACGTTTGTGGAAGCAGATATGGCTAGTACATATTAAATACATAAAAGTAAAAAATGAAGTCTGGCATTTTATTCTGTAGCACTAGAGAAAGTCAGAAGTCAGTGCTTTTCTTTTTTTCCCTCTTTACCCTACACTTCTCTCTCTCCCCCCTTTCTCTTCTCACTATCTTCATTTTCATTTTCAATTTATATTTTAAATGAGTGTAATAAAATTATTTTTAAAAAAGCCGGGCGGACTCCCCAAAAATTATTTGCTGGTTTCTTCACTTGGGCGAAATGCACATCTATTTATTGTGTTTATTGCTGGCTATTCCAATATTAAGACTGTGAGTGTGGTCAGGTAGGACTTCAGCACCCGTCATATTTCCCTGTTGCTTTTTGCCTTGATTTGTAACCTTCTTTTCTATTTTTACAAACCTGAAGCTTGATGTCCAATTTGCTGTTCATAAAGGCATCGTCTCTAAGCACACATGGACATCTATATGGTGGCCCCTATTTTGCTACAGCAATCGAAAATGTGGATTGTTCTCTAGAATTGTCTTTATATAAAAAGCCCATTTCAGCCACAGTGGCTCTTTGATAATGATGAGTTATAGATAAGGAGTCCTTGGCGTTCTCTGCGCTTGGTTGTTTTCTTGCAGACGTTTAATTACCCATCTAGGTAATAACATCAGTGCTAGAAGAGAGTGGGCTTTATCTTCTCTTTCTGTACAAATGGTTTTGTCTTGCCAATGTTGGTGGAGGTGTGTCTTTCTCTTTGGTAATTCCTTGATTCGGAAACTAATCAGGGAACTTTAGTTGAGGAGCCCTTGGTGCTCTCTGAGCTTGATGGCTTTCTTGCAGACGTATCATTACCCAACTAGGTAACATCATCAGTGCTCCATTAGGGCATCATTGGGGCGCTGATGATGTTATCCAGTTGGGTAATGAAATATCTGCAGGCAACCAAGCAAGCACCAAAAACTCCAGCATTCAACTCCAGCATTCTTCTACCATTCCAGAATCATGTTTTTCTTAGCTAAATAGTCCCCTTTTAAATCATTTTGGAGTTTATTTCCCATAGAGAGATGAAGGAAGGAATAGCTGCTTTGCCTCTTTAACTTCTGTCCCCCACCCCAGGACCCAACACCGGGGTTTTCTTAGCAAGAGTGTCACACTCTCAAATTAGCAAAGCTCTTTCTGTTCTTCCCACTCCAGTGTTTAGTTCTAAAACATAATAGAACATAACAGGGTTTCCTACCACTAAAATCAATGTCTGGACTGTTGCACTCCACACACCTGTGTTTCATTGTGCTTTGAAACGGCATTAAGATAACACAGAAGCATGGAGCTCTACCAAACAGACAATTAGGCAGAGAGCTGAAATAGATTGGGTAAATAAATGGCTGTGTACAGAAGCCTCCAGAATTTATTTTTTGAGAAAGAAGGCCTGGTTCCTAATGGACTCTGATGTCTTTGCCGACCTTTCTTCAGATCCAAGTGGAGAAAAACAAACAAACAACCCTATGTAAATCAATAACGTGCAACTTGGTTTGTGCAGTATTCTAAGACTAATGCTTGTGTTATCACTAGAAGAGAATACACTGTAGCTCAGGGTTGAACTATGGGGTCCTTGGTGCTGAGTTTGGCTGTTTTCTTGAAGACGTTTCATGACCCAACTAGGTAACATCATCAGGGCCAGAAGGGAATGGGGTTCGTGGAGTGGAGGATTATGGGGTCCTTGGTGCTTTCTGAGCTTGGTTGTTTTCTTGCAGATATTTCACGACCCAACTAGGTAACATCATCAATGCTGGAAGGGAATGGCGGGGGGGGGGGAGGAGGACTGTGGGGTCCTTGATGCTCTCTGAATTTAATGGTTTTCTTGCAGACATTTCATTACCAAATGAGGTAACATCATCAGTGCTAGAATGGAGTGGGTTTTGCTCTGTTTATGTACAAGTGGCTTGCCCTCTCAATGTTGGTGGGAGTGTCCTTGGTAGTTCTTTGATTAGATGGTTGTTTACTGTTTGTTTGAGTTGATGGTTGTATGTGCTATCATTGGAGGGACTTGCCAATCTTCAGGCCTTGTTGAACTACAACTTCCATCATACCTCACCACTGCCAGGTGAGCTGGACCTCCTAAAGATCTCCAATGACAGGGAAGTCACTTGTTCCCTCAGCCCTAGAATGGCAATACAGATTGTTCTAGCCTCCCACATCTACTTCAGGGTGTCAAGAACTGAACCTGAGACATTTATCAAAGTCATACATAACACAATTCCTGGGCTAGACTCCAAGGACTGAATTTAAAACTTAATGGAATTTTTAGGGGTATTGTGTGCGCTTACTTTTTGCCTTGCATTTCTCTTGAGATCTCACCGACTACATTGTTTTGCCTTTTTCGCATATGCTAACTCAGGAGAACATGCTGTGTGGGGTGAAATAGCTTTTAATTTACAAAAGATTATGCCACCTAATACCATCCTATGCCTGGATGTGCAACTCTTTTTTTAAAAAAAATAATAGTAATAATAAGACAAAAATGCAACTTTTTTTCTTTATTAAGAAACCCACAGGGCTCACATTTTTAATACAAAGTACAATCATTTTAATTTTTTTGCTTGCTTTTCACAGGAATTGAAAACATAACAAAACATACTCTTTCATTATTGAACAATCGTTGTGCATATATATATGATTAAGGAGCAAAATGTGTCCTGAGAAGAGAATGCAAAACTTTGCTTATTCAATTTTATACAGAGGCACAGCATGCTTTTAGGAATATTTTCTTCTTTTAACAATATAAGGCCACACTTGACTTGCATGGTATACAGTGGTCTCAAGATAACCATCTTGATTTGTGCCGATCTTCTCCTTTTGTTATATGATCCTTGTAATATCAACAGCCAGCTCTTACTAGTATCTTAATCGGCCCCTGAAAGCACCAAATAATTATCATGGCTTCAACCTTTTAAGACATGCATTTTGTACCATTGTATTATTGCTCTTCAAGAAATAAAAAAAAGAGTTTAGCAAGGAAACTTGGTTTTCTCTCCATTTTGACTTGAAAAGCAAAACAGAAGGCATTTTGTTTCTTTTAAGAAAGCACTGGGGATGCCATTCAAGGTTTTGGTTCAGTTTTCCCCCTTTTGGACTATCTTTCAAAGATATGAACAGAATGAATGGTTTGAAAAACAAGAGGCAGGATTTGAAATGCACTTTTTTTGCCCCTTTTAGAAGGCTGCTTAAAAGCCAGCAAGGCATGTTTGCAGCCCAAGTTGTACAACTTGGTTCCTTGGAAGACCATCGCCTGAATGTTCCTTGGCATCTTGCAGAAAACAAGAGGCTATAATAGCCCTTCAAACCATTTCCCTCTTTTTTGGAAGAAATGAAATCCCTGTTTAGTTAACCAGTTCAAAAGTAAGCCTGGAGGATTTGGCTTAAGAGTTAACAAAAGTTATTTAATAGGGACAGAGGAGGAGAGAAAATGCTGAAGAAGAAGAAGGAGGAGGAGGAGAAGAAGGAGAAGAAGAAGAAGAAGAAGAAGAAGAAGAAGAAGAAGAAGAAGAAGAAGAAGAAGAAGAAGAAGAAGAAGAAGAAGAAGAAGAAGAAGAAGAAGAAGAAGAAGAAGAAGAAGAAGAAGAAGAAGAAGAAGAAGAAGAAGAAGGAAGAAGAAGAAGAAGAGGAAGAAGAAAAGAAGAAGCTTCAAGCAGAGGCGGGAGGAAAAAAAACCCAAATGAAGGTGTTTTCTCTAGTCAAGATGAGGCTTTTTGGAATCACCCTCAATCCACGAGGGAAACGGGCTGATTGTCTTGCACTCCAGCAGGGTAGGGGTCAATCTGCACAGAAAAATAAAAGTATTTACGGCTTGGGATTCATGAATTCACATAAAGCTGTTGAGAAGCTTTTAAGAGTGCAGACGAGTGAGTACCTCTGAATAAAGAGGGGGCGGCTGAAATCGGAATTCCTGTATGTAGGCGAGCACAGGACAATGCAGCTGTTCGTCGCAATTGGCTGAAGTCGGATAAACAGTGACGTGTCTTGCGTATTCTTCCTCTGATACTATATCAGCATAATTGGGTGGTGCTGGAAACAGACACATGTGCAATGGACATGTAACTCTTTATCTCAATCAAAGTAAACTCATGCTACAGTGATTTTCTTCTGCACTTCAATCTGTTCCTAAGCTGTAACTATGGCGACTGACCATCCAAAATACAGCCCTGATCATTTTAGTGTAAACCTTCTAGCACTAATGATGTTACTTAGTTGGGTAATGAAACATCTGCCAGAAAATCACCAAGCTCAGAGAACACCAAGGATTCCACAGTTCAACCCTAAAATGCAAATACCGTACTCTCTTCTACTGCTAATGATTGAACATTAAAAAAATGATTTCAACTGTACATATTTTAAGTAAACTAATCGATTTTATCCAACCTATCATAAAATATCCCATCCAGTCTCAAAGGCATGCCGAGAAAATTCGGCATTACTTTTCAACATTATTTAAGATTTCAGTGGAAAACAGCAACTCATCTAGGCTTCCAAAAAAGCTTTTATAGATAAATTGATTGCTTATCACTTCCACTTGTTCCAGTTCAGGTCAAATGTTTTCCTCACTGTACTAGCTTTCCTTCTGAAACTTTTTCAAGATTTGTTTTTCCCTGGGAACTAAAAAAATTTGGTCCCAAACAATGAGAAAAATATAGCCCAGGGGGGGTGCACCTTCTGGATGATCTGGCAGGGTCTGAGCCAACCACCTCATATCCATAGCCAACTGGCTGACAAGGCTGGAGTTCCTGCTGGAAAAAGCAGTACATGGAATTGTGCCAATGACGAAAGGCAGTTCAACCATCAGCTTTTTGGCACCAGGAATATGAACATATACCTGTGACAAGAGAGAAGACAGTTTAAACAATCTGCCGGGGGGGGGGGGAACCAAGTTTGTGATTGCAAAGTCATTCCCACAAACACAGTAATTTTGGATAAAGCCTAAGAGTTTTGCAACAGGAATCTCCTCTCCAAGCCATATCCCGGAGCTTTCTGGTTTATTTCAGAAGAAATTTTGTCACTCATTCTATTTAGTTGTTTTACAATGTTGAATCTTTTCTGAGCTAAGCACCTGTTGACCTCATGGACATAACTAGGTAGCAGTATTAAAGTGTAAGGAGTAAGATGTGTCGGATATGTTTGCCGTCTTAAATTATTTGTCAAAATGATAAAAGCGGGCAATCAATCCATCTTTGGGGGGGGGATATTTTTTAAGGTTACTATCAAGTACAGGAAATCAGGAGTCCAGGCAGTTCAGAGGAACATATGAATATATAGCTAAAGCTCTCTACAAAAATCTGAGCTACTAACGGTGAAGGCAAATTGGCATTGGATAAGAGTTAGTGGAACTCAAGGAGGGCTGGCTTTGGATCTCCTGAGGGCACTAAGGGACTCAAGATTGAACTCAACCCAACCCTTGGGCTCAGCCTGGTCATCTCCTTCAGCTGCAGCGTAGTCTAACACCAGAAGGCAGGACAAGAAGCAACGAGTGGAAGCTCATTAAAAAAAGATTCAACCTAGATCTAAAGAGAACAATTACTGCAATCAGTGGAACAGCTTGCCTACAGAAGCTGTGGGTGCTCCATCATTGGAGGGTTTCAATGATTAGACCACCATTGGTCTGGAATGGTACAGGGACTAGAAGACCTCCAAGGCCCTTTCCAACCCAATGGAGATCACTCTGTGATCTTCTGGTGGTCTCCTACTGAAGTCCAACTAGCCCCTTTCTTCTTAGTTTCTAAGTCTAAGCCAGGGGTAGGCAACCTTGGCTCTTTTATGACTCATGGACTTCAACTCCCAGAATTCTGGGAGCCAGCAAAATCAGCTCGGTGTTCTTGCATTACAATCTATGGATCGCGATTGATTGAACTGGATGAAAGCGATACTCACAGCCAAGGAATATTCAACTCTGATAATACAGCAGTCAAAGATCGAAGGAGTGACAGGTGGGATTTTCAGAGTTTTGCCGTTCCAGGTATCCGTGCTTCCTGAGGCAACGTGGTTTCCTCGCACATTGGCAACCATTTGACGGAAAGTCTTTGTTTTCCCTCTAACCACGTAAGTCTGTATTTGGAAGATGGCAGCTTTCGGCACAATTAACCGAGAAGAACAATTTTCAATTTCTGCATAAATTGGTATAACTTCACCTACAGAAAAAGAAGCCAGGAACAACGAGTAAGTTATAATGTACCTATGCCGGTGACAGCCTCCTTTTTCATTGAACAATGTTTTCTTAAATATGCCTTTGAAGGTAGTTATTGTAGATAATCTTCCATTCAAATCAAGAAAAAAAAATTCTAATTCTGCAATAGGCAACATGAAAAAAAAATCCACCTCTGTAAACTAATCTATTATGATGAACAAGATTTGCATTTTGAGGACAGCTCCCTCTGGTTATTTTTTTCTCTTGTTTTAGTTCCTCTCGCTGGCTAAGCTAACACATTTTAAAAGGTAAGCACTCGTTATGACATTAGGCCTTAAGCACATACTTGTTATGACGGAAATTAAATTGCTTTAGTCTCACCTATATAGGCTACTGGATTTCTCTTTCTAAGTCCATTTCTGCTAAGAACCAGGATTTCTATAAATTCATAAACAGCAGCGTACACAGGATACTCCAAAGCCAAATGTAACCGTGTGAACGGAATATACTTACCATTACAATACCCTTTCCTATCGATTTTGGCACTCAAAGAAACGGGACCCGAAGTGAAAAACCAGCACCCGACCATTTTATCTTGAGTTTGTCTTACAGGACTCTGCAAAAAGGGGCAAGAATAAGAATCTGTGAAATGACCGGTGACTAGGGTCAATTTGTCACCAAAGTATCAATAAACGGTTAAGGAATGCTGGCTCAGGAATTCTGGGAGTTGAAGTCCACGAGTCATAAAAGAGCCAAGGTTGCCTACCCCTGACCAAGCCGATTCCGAGGCAGGGGTCAAACATGTCATAAGTCACGAGTCCCTGCGTGCCAACAAAAAAACTTCATACAGGTAGCCCTTGGCTTACAACGACAATTGAGCCCAATATTTTTGTTGCTAACTGAAACATTTGTTAAGTGAATTTTGCCCCATTTTACAACCTTTCCTGCCACAGTTGCTAAGGGAACCACTGCAGTTATTAAGTTAGTACCGTGGTTGTTAAGTGAATCCGGCTTCCCCATTAACTTTGTTTGTTAGACGGTTGCTAAAGGGCATCACATGACCTGCAACCGTCATAAATATGAGTCAGTGGCCAAATGGCCAAATTTTGACCACGTGATCCCGGGGATGCTGCTGCAACTGTCATTAAGCATGAGAAAGGCTCATAAGTCACTTTATCCTGCCTCGTCGTAACTTTGAACGGTCACTAATTGAACTGTCGTGAGTCGAGGACTACCTGTACTTGTTTGAAGGGCCTGAATCTCCTGATTTCCCCCGGGGCTTGACGTGCGCTGCTCTTACCAGGAGAGCAGGAGAATTGACATCAATGTGGCTGATCACTTGAAACTCTCTCGACACAGACTGAGGGGGGGCCGTGGCGCTTTCCAGGGTTACGTTCACAAAGTACTGAATGCTGCCAAACTTCCCTGTGAAAGAGGTCGCCAAGGGGCTGAATACAAGAGAAAGAAACGGCAACTTTAGCCCATTTTCCTTTGCGGAGGCCGACTAGTCCGAGGCAACTGTTTACAACAGAGGTCTTCCAACTTGGCCACTGAGGGCTGGCTGGGGAATTCTGGGAGTTGAAGTCCACAAGTGGCCAAGTTTGAAGACCCCTGGTTGGCAACTTTCCTTCTGAGATGCCAACACCACAAGGGACCTTGTGAGGTCCATTGTGGGGCTGGCAGGCGTATTTGAGATGCTTAGGTCAATGAGCAATTGCGGCATGCATTCCACATGACTATGCGTGAACAAATTATGCTGAACAGAGTTCAGCTTCCGGCACATTATGATGGCTGTTTAATTGACCCCTTACTTGGGGCCAGATAAAGTATGAAGCCCCAAAAGGCGACTGTTCTCTGTAGTCGCTCCACGAAGGTTTAACAAAAGTTATTTTGAACTCTTAATGCATATTGAATGTCAAGTAAAATGCAAGTTACTGCAACACTACCATTGTTTATTTATTTTATAACTGGCACAAAATATTAAAACATCAGATGCGCAGAAAACCTTCTGGCGTATCTGTCTAAGGAGATTCTCAGTCATCCAGGTTATGGTTGACTTTTTCAAGAGGCAGCTGTTTTTCTTTGCAGACATTTCGTTTCTCATCCAAGAAGTTTCTTCAGCTCTGACTGGATGGTGGGAAAATACACACTTTCTGGTGTATATTTCCATCTACTGGTATTTAAATCTCTATTTAGTTCAACAAACATCAACCTTAGCCAATAGCAGAATTCAAAAAAGCAGCAAATTTGGTCAGTTTGAGTCCTTGTCCTAATCACATTTTCCTTCTTTCTCCCGCAAGGTTTCTCAATCAGCCTATTCCATGCAAATGATATTCAAGTTTATTTAAAGCTATAGCTATTCACAGAATTGGTACTAAAGGATTTCTTCTTTATTCAAACTACCAAATGTAGATTTGTTAAATGTGCTTTTCTGCCACATCTTTTTCCCAGCAGTTTAATTGTATTCTATAATGCCTCTTCCACATGGAGAGTGCGGTGTGCATCACTTGCTTCTTGCTGTCATTGTCAAGATTTGTACAGTCCTAAAGTCCAACTTTTTGCACTTAAGGATTTAGTAGTTACTCACCATTAGTTTTTAAAAAAATTAATATAATGCAAATCAAAATGTCAGAAGAGAGTACTATGTCTAATCTGCTTTATTTATATTTGTGTATCGTTGGTAAAATGTTTACAGAGATTCTGTAAGAACTTTTACAATGAAAACCAATATTTCAGTTTAAGTTGCATCGCTTACTGGAGAGAAAGTTGAAAACTGAAAGGGAATTTGTATTTCCCAGCTTCTAAAAGGATGAAGCCCTCATCACCTATAGAACAAAGAAAAAAATATTATTATTTAGAATCATCTTATTAATCATAGCCATTATTAAAAAAAAATCTCCTGTGTGGAAAAAAAAACTCTACAGAAGGGAGGGAGGGAGGGGGCAAGGAGGGAAAGTGGCACCATGCCCCAAATAAATCTTGTGCTTTGCTTGAAGTACTATTGGCTCTAAGATTTGCTATTCCACTTTAAAGAAATGGACAGAAACTGGCATGGAATGAAAAGCCAGCTTCATGCAATATAATACTTTCTTTTTAAATGGATAAATTGTATTATTTTTAATTCAGTTTCCTCTGGAGGAGAAAAAACAACACTTCTGTTTTTTTCTATTTTCTAAGCATAGGCAGGGAGTCCCTAAATCTCTTGTAGTCACTTAACAGCAAGCTTCCAGTGAAGGCAAGGATATGTTAAGCATGCTGTAACTGCTGGGGATGCAAACGTGCCTGGTTTCACCAGATATAGCCGCCAGTGAGAACACAACCTTAAAATAGAAGTCTCTGAAGAACTCTGCTTGCTGCTTCCCACGTATCTGCCAGCAAATCCTGAAAATTTCTAGTAGGGAGTCAGATTAACATGTGGAAGAAAATTCAGTAAAAGTCTATCGGATCCTAAAAGACCAATAAAGTTATTTTGGCAAACAAACAGATGCTAAAGCCTCTTGTGCTTTTAATAGTTGTGCAGAAGACACAATCTCAACAGGCCCTTCTTTAGCACCCACTGGAATAACTTATGGGCAGTAACTTCATTTGTTATAGCAATAAAATAAGAAGGAATAAGTTACGACCACTTTTGTACTGCTACCAGGGAAACTATGTAGAAATCTGGGTCAGTCTCCCGTGGGAATCATTACAGGACGTCCTCGACTTAAATAATACTTGGCTTACTGACCGTTCGAAGTTACCACAATGCTGAAAAAAAGGTGGCAGCATAAAATGGTGCTATAGGATGCTGCAATTATTGTTATTTTGGAAGCTTTTCGACAGAAAGTCCACCATCATTTTTGCCTCTTTCTGCTCCACCCCAGCTGGACCCAATCGTTTCTCTTCCACTCCTCTCTACTTGGCGTCTGATTAACTGAGCCTGCACACGAAGCCACTGACATTTTACTTATTCATCCCATATCTGTTCTATCTCACCAAGCGGCTTCATCTTAGCTGGCTGCTCTTTAAATGGCTTTTGCATATTTAACTGGGGAGGGGGGGCATGATTCACCGTGTGCACTTTGAAAGCAGGATCCTAACTGTTCCAGAGAGCCAACAACTTGTTTATGGAGCAGCAGGCAGCTAAAATAAATAAATTAAAATGCTGAACAGTCGTCCTCCTACCCCTGTGAAGCTCTCCCCAGTCTCGATTAGGCAGACTCCAGCCTCATCAACCAGAGTTCCCACCAGACTATCACTTCTCCCGAGGAGATTTATTGCCTTCTCTGCGCCTATAAATAAGCTTGGCAAGCTGGAAGAACAGAATGTTTCCGTTTTGATCTTCTTTTTGAACACGGCTGCACTCAGAAATGGCCTTGGTGAGCCTTTAACTGCCATCCACGGGCGTTCCTAATATACAGGCGGGTGCACTTAGAACCGCTTTCCTTCTCCCATATGAATTCAGCCTCCATCATCCACAGCCAGCACCCTGGGGAACTGAAGTCAGGCGCAGCCCCAAGGCTGCTGGGAAAAGATGGGAGGTTTTTAAAGAAGAGACTGGACAGTCACTTGTCTGAAATGGTATAGGATCTCCTGCTTGAGCAGGGGGCTGGACTAGTGGACCTCCAAGGTCCCTTCCAGCTCGATTCTGATTCGGATTCTCTAGTAGAAATTAGCAATCCCATTCTCTTTATCCCAAAGCTCCACTGATCCTACTGGATTTACGAGATCAGCTTGTCATCCTGCAGTCTCATGGACCGCAAGGCCCATCATCCTCCAAAGAAGTGCACAGCCAGCAGGGCAGAAGCTGGCAAAACAGGGACGAATAAAGACTCCAGGGACTCCGATGCCTAGCCAAACCTCCCCCCCCCCTCCCAATCTTCCACTCCAGCTTTTCCGGCCAAGGCACTCTCCGGAGACATCGGGCCAAGACCGGCTGGGGATGATGGGAGACGGAACCCAACAAATCAGCTTGCCGAAAAGCTGCTTGGAGGAAAAGGAGCTCGATCCACCCGGCTCCCTGGGGACTTATAGTCCTGCGCCGGGTGATCGCGGACGATGGGGACTGTAGTCCTGCCTCTTCGAGGGGGCAACTTGCCAAGAGGCTCCTTGCTGAAGCGCCAGTCCCCCACACGCCGCGGCCGGGGATGATGGGGGCGGCGGTCCCTGCCAGCCACGCCTGCGCCTCCCTCCCTCCCCCTCGGCCCCTCCCTCCGCTCGCCTGCCAGCAGCAACTCCCGCCGGGCGTCCAGGTAGGGCACCTCCGCTTCCAGACGGGTCCCAGCGGCCGCCGGAGGGAAAGGCGGCGGCGACGTCGCTTCGGTCCAAGCAGCTCGGGCGCCCCCGCAGGCCTCGAGGCGGAGGGCGCGGAGCCGCAGCGGCGCCGCCAGCTCCAGCAGCACCTGCCCGGAGACCGCCTGCCCGCCGCAGAAGCCCTGCGCGCCGCCGGACGCCTCGCCCAGCACCACGGACAGCAGCGGCGGCCGCCCCCCGCCCGCCATGGCCGCCGCCTCGGACGGACTCGCCGCCGCCGCCGCCGCGCAGGCGCCCCGCCTCTCCCCGCTCGCCCCGCCTCCCCCGCGCGAGCGCCCGTGGACCGCGCCGCCATTGGCCCCGTGCCCGGCAGGCTGGGCTTCCGGGGCCAATCGGAGGCGGGCGCGAGCCATGTGCACGGCTGGTAAACAGGGAGGGGCGGAGGGGGCGGGGCCCAAGGAAGGGCGCGAGGGGCGGTCTCTAGGCGCCCCATGAGGCAACCTTCCCCAAGTGGGCGCCCTCCGAGGGCTCCAGCAATGCTGGAATCCAGAGCAGGACCCGCTCCCTCTTTAGCGCTGGTTGAGCGAGGAAAGGTCTGCAAGGAAATAATCAAGCTCAGAGAGCACTAGGACTCCTCGCCTAAAGTTCCCCCATTTGATAGTCCCCTAATGAGGTAATCTTCTAATCAAAGAACTACCAAAGAGAGCAGGGGGCTGGACTAGATGACTTCCAAGGTCCCTTCCAACTTTTTTATTATTATTATTATTATTACTACTACTATTACTACTACTACTACTACTACTATTATTATTATTATTATTATTATTATTATTATTATTATTAATTATTACCACCACACATCCACCAACATTGGTGAGGCAAACCACTTGTACATAAGGAGAGCGCAAAAATCCACTCGCTTCTAGCACTTATTACCTTGTTGGGTAATGAGACGTCTGCAAGGAAACAAGAGCACCAAGGACCAGTCAGCTAAAGCTCTCTAATTAGTTAGCTCCCTAATCAAGGAACTACCAAAGAGAACCCCCCTCCCCAAACACTGGAGAGGCAAACCATTTGTACATAAAGAGAGAGCAAAAACCCATTCCCTTCTAGCACTGATGACATTACTTAGCTGGGTAATGAAATGTCCGTGAGAAAACCATCAAGCTCAGAGAGCACTGAGGACAGATAATCCTTGAGAACTTGATGCCTTGAGCAAATCCACATAGCCAAAGTGATATTACAAAAACACAGCCTAAAGCACCACCTATATTCTGCTTTTAATGGTGCTTCCTTGTGTGCCATTGAAGATGGGCTACCTCACTCCGTTTAATGGCAAGTCTAGTCTTGGAGGAGAAGTTATTTTGAAAGACAGCATGCTCTCCCTCCCCAAGATGGAAACCGCAGTGGTGATATGGTTTACTGGACAATAAATCTGGATAATTGTAGAGAACTGGAGATAGCAGATTTTGTTTTTTTAAATTGAGCTAGTAAAATACATTACTGTGTGGTTTTATCAACTTAGGCTTATCTTTACTACACGGTAACCAGCATGCAGAGTTACAAAAGCTCTCAACTCTTTTTTTTTTTCCCCGAAAGAAAGAAATTTAACACCATTTTTCTAACCTTCCACAGCCTAGCATCTTCCGAATAAGTGAGACAAGAATAATTACCAGGCATAATGACTAAATATTGTAATTTTGGAAAAGCTAGTCCATGGTCTTTCAAACTACGGGCTCTTTTATTTGGAGGACTAAAACTAACAGGTGATAAAAGGGGCATTACTCACTTCTAGTTCATTTGCAATATTTGTATTCCTCCTTTCTGGTAAACAATTCTGAAAAAGTTTCCAACCGAAACTTAAAGAATCTGTGCTATATGTTGAATAGAATTAATAATTTATTGCTTGTTTGTTTGCTTTTCCTAAGAGCAACAATCAAGCATGAGATCAGAAACAAAATGGCAAAAACAAAACAAAACAAGACAGAGATTAAAAACTCCAAGGGTAAGAAAACAAATACCAGAGCAACATAACAAAGCATTCTTGACGAACGTGCTAAAACCCCAAGCACGACGACAGAATCTCTCCCCCTGCATTGTTCCCATTTGGGCTGTCCATGAGAAAAAAAATAGAGGGCAAAACCTCAGTAATGAATGGATTGACCTAAACTGTTTTTTTTCTTTTCTCAAGCCTTGTGAATTTTAGTGTGTAGTTAAAAAGAATTGGAGCCTGGCTGATTCTTATCTCAGGCTGGAGACAAGAGGATACTATTTAAGAGAGATGTATGGGAAGAAAGACAGTGTGAGTTGCCGGATGTGCCCCTCATCTACTACTCAAACTGTTTCTGCAATCAGGATTTGGGGGAATTGAAGTCTAGCTCTTCCAGCTATAAAATTAGGAGAAGTCAGGTGGCAACGCAGGCGCTTCCCTCAGGCGCTCTTCCCAGCAAGGAGGGCTGGGGGTGGCTGGGGTCCGGAGAGGGGAGGCAGCATAGACTTTTGCTGTATCAAGGAAAGTTTTTGCATAGAACAAATGGTAGAACCATAGAACAAATGGTCCAGCGTCTCCTTGAGCAGGGGGTGGACTAGAAGACCTCCAAGGTCCCTTCTATGTTCTATGTTGCAGATCAAATAAAATTAGGCTTCAAATCAGGCTGTGTCCTTTATTGCTAAGAGGCCCTGGGAAAGGTTTCTGTCTGGAACAAAAGAGCCACTGCCAACTCATGAACACTATCCTTGGGACAAATTGGGCCATTCCAGGATGGCTAAGGATTATGGGCTTTGGAGCAGCACACTCACAAGTGCACCAGATTGGTGACAGTTACTGGAAACCCTGCTTTTTGAATACCGTGAAGGACTTTATCTTTGAAAGTGCCGGAGAGTGGAAGATTGAAACCTAAGAAAAAAGGATTGTGGAAAATTGAACCAGAAGGAAGAAGGAGGAAGAGAAGAAAGGGAAGGAAGGAAGGAATAGAGAAGGAAGGAAGAGGAAGGAGAAAAAGAAAGGAGAAGAATGAAGAGAGGGAAGGAGGGAAAGAGGAGAAGAAAAGGAGAGAAAGGAAAGAAGTGAAAGGAAAGAGGAAAAAAGGAAGAAAGGAGAGGAAGGAAGGAATCTAGATGCATGCAAAAGGAATTCATTGCAAAACGGCATAACATCCGAGATCAATTGGCAGAGAAAAAAAAAAAGGAAGTGGAAAAATATGGAAATGGATGTGTTGCAAGCAACTGAAACCAGTTTCAGAAGAGCAAAGAAAGTGCAGAGGGTGAGGTAAGGGATGGAAAAATAAGTTGCTCCTCTTATGAAGGATCAGATTCAATCTGACTGGAGAATTCTGGGAGTTGAAATTCCCAACCTTAGAAGTTGCTGAGGTTGAGAAATGCTGCCTTAGATTGATTGATCAACTTTGCCAAGAGCTCTTTGGCTGATTCTGTAATAGAAGGCTGGCTTCAGCTCAGCACTGCTTTTCTTGTGCAAGACATCTTTTCTAATGAGCCACTGCTGGCAGGGGAGCATTGGAAATGGAGTGGTGTTTCTAGCCATGGGGGAAAAAGTAAGTTTGTAGAAGAAGTCATTGATTGGATCTGACTTGGAAAACAGCATAGCCTAAAAGAAGTGGCTTCTTAGACACATAGAACATAGAATAATAGGAAGGGACCTTGGAGGTCTTCTAGTCCAACCGTTTTCCCAAGCAGGAGACCCTATAACCATTCCAGGCAAATGACTGTCCAATCTCTTGAAAACCTCCAGTGATGGAGAGCCCACAACTTCTGGAGGGAAGCTGTTCCACTGATTCATCATTCTCACTGACAGGACATTTCTCTGTTGAAAATTCTAAGTTTGATAACTTTCCATCCATTCCTTCTTCTCCTGCCTTCAGGTCCTTTGGAGAACATGTTGACCTGTCTCTCTGTGATAGACCCTCAAATATTGGAAGACAGCTATCATGCTATCCCTAGTCCTTCTCTTTGATAGACTAAACATACCTGCCTCCCTCAACTGTTCATTGTACTATTTATCCTCCAGATCCCTTACCATCTTTGTTGCTCTTCTCTGCATGCTGTTTTGGGGTCTCAACATCTTTTTGTACTATAGTTGGGATTTTTTTTCTCCTTATCTTTGATTTATTTAGTGAGTCTGAGAAGAGCAGTGGGCTGTTATTCCGCAAAGCAAGGTGACATTTGAACACAGGAGCCAAGAAGGGCTGTTTTTCAAAGCGAACACACCACGCTCTCTGATTCTGATCCCTACCTGTCAACAACACATTAAATGCAAGAGATTGTGCCAGTGAGTGGTACGCACCCTCTTTTGAAAGACAAATATTAGGTAACTGGCTGGAGAGTTGAATTTCGCTTATTTTAATCTGGGCCGGTATTTGTTCTTGTGGCAAAAGTAAAGCTGATTTTAGAATGCAAAAAAATCAAGAGCTTACCTTCCAGGCTGCCCT